GAAGGGCCACCTCTACCCCAATGTTCATAGCAGCAATGGCCACAGTTGCCGAACTGTGGAAAGAACCAAGATGCCCTTCACTGGAAGAATGGATAAAGAACATATGGTCCATATATACAATGGAGTATTATGCCTCCATCAGAAAGGACGAATACCCAACTTTTATAGCAACATGGATGGGACTGGAAGAGATTATGTTGAGTGAAATAAGTCAAGCAGAGAGAGACAAGTATCATATGGTTTCACTTACTTGTGGAGCATAAGGAATAACACGGAGGACATTGGGAGAAGGAGAGAAGGGAGTTGGGGGAAATCAGAGGGGGAGACAAACCATGAGAGACTGTGGACTCTGAGAAACAAACTGAGGGTTTTGGAGGGTAGGGAGGTGAGGGGTTGGGTGAGCCTGGTGGTGGGTATTATGGAGGGCATGTATTGCATGGAGCACTGGGTGTGGTGCATAAACAATGAATTTTGGAACACTGAAAAAAAATAAAATAAAATGAAAAAAATATTAAAATATTAAAAAAAAAAGTTAAAAATAAGACTACCCTATGATCCAGCAATTGTACTACTAGGTATATACCCAAAGAATATATAAATACTAATCAAAGGGATACATGCACCCTGATTTTATAACAGCATTAACTACAATAGCCAAATTATGGAAACAGCCCAAGTTTCTATCAGCTGAAGAATGGATAAAGAAGATATGGGGTGTGTGTGTGTGTGTGTGTGTGTGTGTGTGTGTGTTATTAACTACGGAGAACAAATGATGGTTACCAGAAGGGAGGTGGGAGGGGATGGGTTAAAATGTCATAGGGATGAAGGAGTATACTTGCTGTGATGAGCACTGGGTGTTGTACGGAAGTGTTCAATACTGTATTGTACACTTGAAACTAATATTACACTGTATGTTAACTGAAATTTAAATAAAAATGTAAAATATACTCTTACATGGCTATGTTTCAGTTATTAGTTTTTTCCCACTGTATCTTTGAGCTACAAACAAGACTACAGTTAATATGAGTTATTACTATACTTTGTGCATTGAATCATTAGTTCATCAACTATCAACACCTGTGTCCTAGATTCATGAATAAAGAGATGAAGATAGCATAAACCCCTTTCCTCAAGGATTTCCACTGCTTGAGAGGGAAGATAAAAATGGAAACAGGACAAATAATTACAGCGTAATACACTAAATGTTCTGACAGAGTATGAACAAAACTAAGTAGGAAAGTATGGAGGATCATAACTATAATTTGTCTAGGAAAATATTACAGAAGGCTCTACAGATGTTCCATTTAAGTGGTAAACAGACTTGGCAAAATAAGGAAAAGTAAAGACTTCTAAAATCTTAAGTAAAATTCTTATCTCCTTTCTTTTGATTTTCTTCCAGAAAGTCTCCTAAAAAGGTAACTAGTTCTTTCAGAATTCAGTTTATTGAATGTAATTAATACAAAACTTTGAGTTAATATAAGAAACTACTAGCCATTTTTAGGATATCTATGTAAAAATAAAATCTCCAATTTCAAAGAAACATATCCAAACAAAATCATTCTATTTACTACCATCTGTATATAAACTCAACATTGAAGATCTGTTCTATTAAAAAAAAGTAACCTTTTATAATATAGTGGGTTTATCAATTGGCTTGGGCTCCTATAACAAAATGGCCACAGACTGAGTGGCTTAAACAACAAGAATTAATTCTATTCAATTTCAGGAGAATTGAAATCTAAGATCAAGGTGCTAGGAGGTTTGGTATCTGGTGAGAACTCTCCTGTTGGGTTACAGAGGGCCTTTGTTGCTATGTGGCTCATATGGCCTTTCATGTACCTGTGCTCAAGGAAAGAGAAGGAGCTGGATATTTCTCCCTCTTTCTAAAAAGAACACCACCAATCCTATCTGACCAAGGTCCTAATGTCATGACCTCATCCAACTCTAATTCTCTCCCAAAGGCCTCATTTCCAAACACCATCACATTGGGCTTCAACATATAAATTTGGGCAGGGGGAAGTATTGGGCAGAACCATAAATATTCAGTTTGAAACAGCAGGTTAAGCAGTGTGTTAGTAGATTTGTTAATAAATAAGAAAGCTGAGATACTATCAGTACCCTGAAGATCAGCATTATTTTCCTAAGGACAACAGAACTGTCCTTGCATACCTGTTAGCAAAGCTTAATTCAAAACAACACCAAAGTAAAAAAATCTTGGATTGCAGAATTATACTCAAAATCATTTTTCCTATCACTGTTCTGTAATTCAGATTATCTGATTTATGACAATGAAATAATGAAACAAAACCATCTTGTAATATTAGAGTGATACTTCTCAGGTTTTTATAGCCAGACTTTAATTTGAAAGTTTAAATTGTATATATGAACATTCCTGTAGGCATACCTGCTAACAATTTTAAATTAGTTAATGCAAATTTTAAATGACCTTCAGTTTTTCTCACCATAAAAGAAACTATGTTTCAACAGTGCCTTTAGAATATATGAAATTATATACTATATGATAGTGAGACACGGCTATATCCTCTAGTCTTAATTACAGGAAAAGTATAGACAACTGTAAAGTTTAGCTTTATTGTTTTATAAATGAACCAGGAAAATTCATTTTAGTGAAATGAGCACATGCTTTTCATAAATTAAATCTCACATGTAAGTACTCATTTTCAAAATTAATTTAATTACATGTTTAAAGTTTAATTACATTTAATTAAGCATTTACGTTTTATATGAAATAAATGAATTATCAGTTAACTGCTATGAAATGAAATATTGCCTTGACAATTAAAATCTATAAATTTTCCTATTCTGTGCAAAGCTGCTAGTTCTCAAAACACACTCTGAAAAAAGAAACATATTTTAAAAACAATAGGACTATATTTTCATGGCTGATCTAGGTGTAGTTTTTCCTGGCCCCTGGCTTCATGTGCTACACATTTACTACAGCAGCAAATGGAGGCAGCCTGGCCCAGAATAAAAAGCAGAGGTTTTGAAGACTTGGGTTTAGGTCAGAGACTGTCACTAACAGCCTGAGAAAGTGGGAAAGGTATTTAGTATCAGTCTCCGACATCAAGCTCCTAAAAAACGGAGATAGTATTACTTCTTTTGGAGGGTTGTGGAAGGATTAGATAAGATATCCTATCATCAAATGCCTGGAACAGTGCCTGACATGGAACAGCTATTCAACAAATGTTCATTCCCTCTTTCTTTTAGTTAATGACTGAATGAACAAAAACCTTGTACTTTGGGGCTTAAAATTTTTTTCTTAAAACATTTTATTAATTATAAAAGTAACACCACATTTTTTTGTTTACTTACATTATACTTAATGAACATTTTACATTCTTTTATTTCCTTAAGTACTCCATGAATGGAGGCAATGTAGTATTATAGCTAACACAGAATTTTGAGTTAGAAAGAACTGACTTTGAATTTGGGTTCCACCATTTACTGCTTGAGAAATCAAGAAGTTGTTTTCCAAGCCATAAAAGTATATGTACGTGTTTGGTTTAGGGAATGGCAAAATTAATAGTATTGATATATTGATTAAAGTATAATCAATATAATCATTCAAACTTAACAAAATATTAGTGATGTAAGTAGGACAAAAGGTATCCCTCTACCCTAATTTTTCACAGAAGGATATTCATTTTCACTGAATTTAAGGGCATTTCCTAAGGTTAACAATAGGATGGACAGTCAGAACTCAGATTTCTTTTTTTCTTTCTTTATTAGCGCTCTTTCCTTCATAAGATAGGAAGGTAAAGGCAAAGGACAGCAATGTCTCTTGAAGCAGTAAAGCAAAAAGAGAGGGATCTGATTTGAGTTAATCCTGGTTCTGTCACTTAATAGTTGAGCCTCAAATAAATAACTTCTGTGAATTTCAGTATCTTCTTCTGGAAAATGGGAATATACACTTTGTTAAGGTTCATACAAGGATTGCACTAGGTAACCAATGTAATAGGTAGTGGAGTGACCAACACAGGCAGCAGTCATTCATTAATGGTTGGTGGTAACACTAAGACAACATCAAAGCACCACTTTCTGTAAGTCTCAAGCCATAGAATGGAGAAACCATAATGAAGTGAATATTTTTTATTTTCTGAAAGAGATTTAGTAACAATAAATAGGACAGTCTTCACTAAATTCTCAAGTAATTTTCCTGGAAAGAGACTCTATGGATTTTTAAGTCATTTCAGTTCACAATTTCCTGTCTATTAAATCTCCATGGAATAACTCATCTCACTTTGAAAATAATGGTTTTACAAGATGAAAGAAAAGAGAGGTTACAACCTACTCCATGGATTACTTTCCTTGACTCAACAGCAGCCAGAATTGAAATTACATATTCTTAACACTATAAATTATTCAATGTCAAGTATTGTAATTTTCAGAGTTTTGCCTTAATAAAATTAGTTGCACTATAAACATGTTGTGTTCGTTTAATATTTAAAACACTTCATTGTTAAACTCAAAAGACCCCTAAATTCTTTTAAGGTAACCTAAAAAAAATACAGATTGTTATATTTACAGAATAATTTTACTAGAAGTAGAAAGCCTTAAGAAATAAAATATTGGAAGACAAACACTTTGTTTACTTTTTGATAGAACACTTACTGAAAAACAGCAGTACTTCATACCATTTTCACTGCTATTATTATCAATCAGTTGTATTTAGATATCTATCTGCATTCAGGGCTAAAAGACCTTGATATAAAAACAATTCCACATTTTCTTGAATATAAGAACAACAGGTATTATTACTTTTCAAACTGTAAATTAAGAATAACGGCAATTCCAATAGGACCAGAAAAAGAAAACCACATATAAAGAAATAGTATGAAACATATGCACAATTACAGTTACATGTTATCTAGAAAACATTTATTATTAGGATATGTACCTTTGGTTACGCATTATTTTAAAGAATGTGGTAAAAATGAATTCTGTTAACCTTTGAAATCAGAATGGAGTCATTAACTTACCATGGTTCTATAGTAAGAGTTGAAGATAATTTTTCTGGGAAGAAAAATCCATGCCATTTTGATGCCTCAATTAGTTCTTGTGGCATCCTTTTTGATGCATCATAATAGTGACCAAATCTTGAAGAAGATACTGGTCCAGACTGTTAAGAAAAGCCATATTGATTGTTAAGAAAATTAAGTTTTTAAAAAACTACAATGTATTTGAACTGCATTCAGCAAAATACTGGTATCTCTGCACATTTTAATGCTGATAGCAAGAGCTGTATACACAGACATAATAAATTTCAAAGAAGCATACAACTTTTATTATTTTAAATGATGACTTAGAAATCAACCTTTTCCTCTCCCATGTTTCTCTGCTGCTGGTGATTCCCTGAATTTGATAAGAATTCAAATACCTCTTTGTTTTTCTTACTGTAAATCTTCCCAAGTTAAAAAAAATTTAATATACATGTATTAATTATTTTTTAAAGGTTACAGGTTTCAATGACAAATTAAATATGGAATTGCTAAGATCTAATGAAAACTTAAGCCAATGAAATCATTGGTGAGGGGCCCAAAAGAAACTAGCTATTTAAATATATTAAACTGAGCATCATTTAAAAATTAAATTCTCACGAGACAGTGAGTATATATATTCAAAATTTCTTACAAATTTAAAATTAAACTTATAGTATAAAATATATTGGGGGTACTCCCATTGGGAACAAGGCATGTGCTAAAGAGGGAGAAGGCATACAAATAATATTAGATAAACCAGAAACCTGACATAATCATTAGTTCATAGATACTTCCTCTTTTGTGCTATTACCTATTTCTCCAACAAATCATCTTTGTCATAAGAAACTCTAGTAGCTTTTGATGCTGAATTTATTTACACAGGATAGTAAAGGCCTAGTAATAGAACATTCTCATTATATTGCTTTGAATGGACTCTGTGCTGATTCAACACATTAGAAATATATATACCTCTGTCTAAAGCTGAACTACTAACAGATTGGCAATAATTTCTAATAGTTTCTAATCTAAATTTACATAATTTTCACTGTCCTGAATACTACAGACAAATTTCAGAACATTCAACAAAACAGATAATCTGCAGATAATTTGCAGAAACTGAAGAACTATATGGAGTGAGTTCTTAATTTATTTTACTAAGTAACTGCCAACTTTGTAATATAGATAAAGACATTTCCTTGACACTAGATCTTTGAATTTTAAGATTTAAAGGATTAATATTCTTAAATTGGATGCCTACCAACATCAAATTATACAGTAACAAAGAATAAAAAAATTAAGTCAATAGAAAGATTACTCTCAGATTTGGAGTCTGTGGGTTTGGCATTTATTTTCTAGGTAAAATGACTGCTCACCCCTCCATAAGATACTGTTTGTTGTCATTAACGAAAGAGACCAATCAGCTCAACCTAATATTTTCAATACAATATATATACAAGTATGGTTCCTAAAACATGATTTATCTATTTACCATGGCAGTATTAACAAATTATGAAACATTAAAGTACGTTTCTAAAAAATAGGGTAAAGTTTTTAAATGTAAAGTTATTAGTATAAAGCAATTTAAACAAGGTCTGTTCTTTGGCCTATAATCTATTCTTTATCCGGATTATAGTTCAGAATGTTTTTACTGCAATCTCTGCTAGAGCTCATCTTTTTATTGTGTAAGTCCAAGCCCCCTTAATGTTTTAGAAAGGCCTTGACTAACTGAACTTTGATCTGATGTCTTCATTGAGAAAAACACCAGGTTGCCCATTTCAGATGCAAATCCTCCTAAGGCCCAATAGAATTTAGTAAAGACAAGCAAAAAAGAAGAAACAAGAAGTTTCCAGGATCCTCTTTGAGAATCCTGGGGCACACTGGTGTCCTTAATCCACGCTGCTCCATGGATTAAGGTAGGTGATAACCTTTCCTGATTCAAAAGAATAAGCAGAGTGCCTACAAACTGGGTGGAGACTAGGATTTGGTAATAATAAAACACCATGCAATAAAAGCTTGGTCTATGTCAGAAGCCTCTGAAAAGGCCTCAATGTACCACATTCCCAGGCCTAGTAGGGAAGCTTGCAAAAGCCTACCTGAATCAAATAAGCATGAATAATCTATTTTAGCAGACTGGCCATGGGGAGAGAGAAAGAAAGAGACTTTTCGCTTCTTTTAAGTTTGAGTTAATAAATTTATTAGTGCACTGAAGGTTCTTGAAGTCTTGGGCACTCAGAGAAATATGCTAAATTGCCAAGAAGCAAAGTATGCTTTTTAAGTTGCCGTCTCTATTACTGTTTCTAATTATAATATTAATGTGATAGAAATCTCAGATTTGGGATGAATCAAGGCAGAAAATTGATTTCATGCTGTGACAGTTTACATATAAAACACAAATAATTCATTAAAATATAAGAATAAAATTTGGAAGATTTTCTTGTTACAATTAAGTTATTATTTTTTTTTTTAGAAATTAGGATTAAATATGGCAACTAAAATATTCACAAGGTAGACATTACAAATTTTATTAATGATGAAAAGCTTTAATCCTTCAATAAAAATGAAACTGGAAAAATAAATATACCCTTACAGGAAAAAAAATTTTGTACCCAAACACAAAGCATTAAAAAATAATCAGATTTTTAAAAATACTGTGAAATCTTTTGAGGCTTATAAAACAAAGACTTCAAATATTTCCTCTGAAAAATGATAACTAATGCTTTAAGTCTGATAATACTCTAAGAAAAAATATCAACTCCACAAAAAAAAGATGCATTAAATAAATCAACATGTCATCAATAACGAGTCAGTTTTACTCAATTTAATAAGAACATGTTGCTTTAGTTTTATATTATGAAAACTTCTATTTCACAGTTATAGACTAACCTTTACTTTTGTCAACTGTGGAACAGAGAATAATGGAATGGTTCAGTAAAAATGTATTATGATACAGAAAAATTAACTCTGATGGGGGACCAGAAGGAACACAGAAAAATAAAATAATACCATCCCTCACCTCCAGTATGTTAGAAAGAAACAAAACTTTCAGACAAAAGCTGCACACCAAATAAACAGTCTAAATAAGACATTTTCTTATTACTGTTATCATTTCTTGTTTCTCAGTATGGCATAACAGAAAGCAAGAACCCAAATGGTTAACTAATCACTTTGAGCCTCAGTTCAATCACCAATAACAACTATTTTGTTAGGCTGTTGTGAGAACCTAATGCAACACTGGCAATGAATATTTTGTAATTGTAAAGCACTACCTAAATGATATTAATTATTGTATCATGATTCACTAGAGAATCAGAAGATCTATCACTATCCTTTGTAAATACATTACCTCATTTGAAAAATGGTATTTGTTGTCACCTGCAATATGCACACATCAATCAGAAGGATTATTATGGCTGAACCACTAAGAAAGCCAAAGTGTAATGAGGATTTAATATAATAAAGACTTAATACATACCCTAAGTGCTGGAACCATCATAGGCTTTGGTAATAGAACTATGTAATATTGAAGAAATTAGGTCTCAGCATATGTTGTAAGCTACCAATTCGTCGGGTGAAAGGCAATAGGATTTGATGATTGGATAGGGGAAAAACAAAAAAAGCAGACCTACCTAAGAGAGAGAATCAAAATCACAGGCCAAGGGAAGGGGGCCTTCTTAAAACTACACACCCCTCCAACTGGAAGCAGCACTGCTCTACCTTTTACTGAGCTACAATTACTGACTTAGGTGTGCATATTCTTACCCTTTTTTGTATTCCCCAAGTGGGGAACTGGTGGCAACTTATAGTAAAACTTATAGTAAAAGCTATCTCTGATAAATGACATAGCTAGCTTCAGACTACTTGTTTAATCTTTAGTCATAAGAGTTTTAACAATATTTTGTCCCAGGTAGGACACAGAAAACCCAGGGTTTTTTTGTTGTTTTTAAACTAGTAATGGCAAAGTAAAATCTGGATTTATAAAGTACATGATAGCTGAAGGCTATCAGTCTTGGCAAATCCTCATGTATAAAATTTTTGTGACAGGAAAATATACATGCTGGTGACATTTCGAGGAAAGCAAAGAAGTCATAAGATTCTATTTTTGTCAACTGGAAAGAACTCACTTATAAATACTAATAAATTTAAAAATCTAACCATGGACAGTACATTCAAAATAAGCTATTATTTTATTTGTATTAATTAATATAACTTAACTCAGTTTTGCTACTATATAGTTCATTGATTCATTCACACTGAAAAAAATAAAATTTAAAAAAAATTATTCATTCATTCACATATTCAATAACTAATTATTGAGCACCCACTATTTGCCAATAAAGCAAGAGATTTGAAGTCATTTTCTTTCATTGAGCTCACAGCCTAGTAGGAGAAGATAGATGATATTATCTGGTACGTGACCATAAGTGCCCTGAAGAAAAATAAGACAGTGAGATGACAGAGAGAGAGAGTGGTTTTACTTTTTTATAGGGAGTGAGAAAAGAATACATTCCTGATTAAATGATATTTTAGTGGAGAACTCAAGAAAATGGGAGAGTAAGTCATCTCAGAAAGATCACTGAGAAGAACACAATTTTTAAAATACACTGTATACTTTGAAAACTGATCACGGAGTTTATGTGTTAATATGTGACCACTGAGGAGTTTACTTCCATAGATGAAATCAAAACAACTGCAGGCACACCACTCTAAAATGAAGAGTGGAATAAGGACTACTGACTTATATATAAAGGGGGCAGGAATAGCACTCGTAATTATAATATATAAAGAAACAATATAAGAAGCAAAGAACTTTTGCACCAACTTTAAACAGATTTTTTAACAAGCAGTAAAAAACAAAAGACTTAAAGTTTCAGTTATTTGCATCTTCACTGGCAATTTCACCTGAAGAATGTTAGTGACCAATGAGAAAACTAAAACATAGCTGAGGTTAGCATAAAAATAAAGTAAATGTAAGACGTGAGTGATTTATATAGCCTACAAATGGTCTGGTATATTGTCTCTGAAAGAAAGCTAAATTTAACTTAGAACTTTTGTTCTTTATTGACTCTTCCAGAACAAACCAATAGAAAAATAAGAATATAGTCATTCTTTATAAAAGAGTCACCATTAAGCTCAGGAATTTAAATGAAATTATCAGCTCAAAGACATGAATGAAGTTCTTTGCCATTATGGTTCTCAAGGGTTAGTCCTACATTCCTTGTCTGTTTTCCTAAACAGAATAATTTCCCTAAACAGAATAATTCCATTTATCTGGCCTCTTATATCCAGATCTCCTTCACATCCAAGCTATGCCTACAAAAACTGACTACAGAGCTCCCCTGTATTTTTTAATACGCATGTAACGGTATTCTACTGTATACAAATACTGTAATTTACTTAACCAAGTGCTTACTGATGGTCACTTAGTTTATTTCCAATCCTGTTTATTAAAAATATGCTACATAAATAGATCATATGTTTATTTTACATATGAGTAAATAGATTCATAATGTAAATACCCAAAAGGATCAAAGGGTAAATGTTTTTTGAAATTCTAAAGTATCTACCAAACGCCCTCCACAGAAATTGTACTATTTATATTTCCACCAGCAAAGTATGAGAAAGTCCTAGTTTTTCCACACCGTTGCTAATTTAGTGTCTCACCAAACATTTTAGGTTATTGACAACTTGTTAAGAGAAAACCAGCAGGTCAATGCAGATTTTTTGTTTTTTTATTTTTTTTAAGATTTTATTTATTTGTTTCACAAAGAGAGAGAGGGAGAGAGCACATGCAGGGGGAGCAGGAGAGAGAGAAGCTCCTGCTCAGGGGCAGTCCCAATGTGGGGCTTGATCCCAGGACCCTGGGACCACGACCTGAGCCGAAGACAGAAGCTTAACCAACTGAGCCACCCAGGAGCCCCTGATCAGTGCAGTGTTAATTTGCATTTCTCTTATTGTAACTGAATAACGCATCTGCGTTTGTATGTTTAAGGGACAGCTAAATTTCCTTCACATATATCCGCCCATTTTTCTAAAAAATTGGGTTGGGATATGGACATTGGGGAGGGTAAGTGCTATGGTAAGCACTGTGAATTACAGACCTATACCCCTGAACCAAATAATCTATTATATGTTAATAAAAAAAAAATTAGGTTGGTAGGTTATTCCTTATTCATTTTAGAAGTTCTTTGTATATAAGGAAAATTTATTCCTTATTCTATCAGTTGCAAATATCCTTCATCTGTAGTTTGTTCACAGTCATTTAAATCAAGCTTAAATATTTATTATTCAAATAGCTTTCCCATCTAAGTTAGAACAATTTTATACCATATTTTACACTTAATACACAGGCAATACTCAGTATTTGCTGGCTGTATAAACATATAAATACATTTATCACACATCAAATATTTATTGAGTACTGGGCATTAACATAGATACTGGAGATATGAGAGAAAATAAAACAGGTTCTCTGCCTTCATAGAGAATTCTGTCTGATGGAGAAAAGAGTTATACCAACAATTACATATAAAATAATGTTAGAAGTACTTTAAAATACATGAAGTGCTATGGACACAAAAATAAGAAACTAGGTAATTATGTATGGAAAGCTGTCCGAGTAGTAATATTTGCATCTGGGGAAGGCTGAGTTGGTGAATAAGAAAGTAAAAAGCATTACCAGCAGAAATATAAGCATTTTTAAGGAATAACTCTCATAGGACAGATGGATATAGTATTTTATATTCACACAGGAGGAGACTAAAAGGTAGGCTTGGGTTAGGTTGTATAGATCTTATATACAATCTCAAGAAGTTTGTATTTCATATTGCAGGCTTATAATGACAAATAGGTTTCGTCTCACATACTAACTCTCACATATTAGCTGGTAGTGACCACCCAGAATACTGCAGAGAATTCTAAGGCGTTGTCTAGGCTTGGCAGAAGGGTTTTATGAATGACAGTCTGCCATGCATTTAGAAGGAGGCAGTGGAAACAATATACCAAATTAGGCATTTACAGTTAAGGAGTGTTACGAACATATCTGTCCTTGGGGAAGGTATGAGTGATGTCAATGTAGAAGACAGAAGGGTAGGCTATGTGTATTGTGTCTTATTCAGATTAGAATTTCTCTCTTTTCTACCAATATGATGTCTGGTAGACATTAAAGTGTTCTGAAAGGTAAATAAGTAAATAATCAAATAAAGGAGCTAATAAATGAACAGGGCCTTCACCAAGAGCAGAGTTCATAATCTTTAATGAGCAGATTTACTGACATTCGTTTTCACAGAAATCTTCACTTCACTTTCTGTCTCTTAGTCTATCCCGGACAGATGAGGTTATCAGACAGCTGAGTTCGAAAATACAATGATAGAAAATGTATAGGAATAAAAATAGTAATTCCAAGGGACTACCAGTTATGCTGATTATTTATAGGTAACCAAACTGGACAGAAATAGCTTAATGAGCTCCTTACTCTGGGTTGCAATCCTAGAATAAAAGATTCTATATGGAAATTATGGAAGAAATGAAATCTACTTTGGTAAAAATATTTTTTTGCCATAACTTTATTTTTTTAAGAAATGTCATCTTGATAAAATACAAATAAAATATCTAGTTATTTAAATAAGAAAATATACATTGTAGTACATTTAAAGAATGAAAGGTATACTACAAAAAATTCTATAAAATGAAAACAGATTTACAAATTTTAGAGATAGTTTATATGTTGACTTGCCTCCATCTTGGGTAATAACTGGTAACGCCAAGCTATTTTCATCTTAATGTTAGAGTCTGGTGTTTTGTGATTACATACATCTTCATCAAAATCTTTTTTACAATTATCATCAAGTAATGGTGCAGGAAGTTCCTAAGAAAACAGAATGACACATTATTGAACATCTGTGATTAAAAAATGCGACAGTTTTCTTAAATCATAATATGAGCAATCTTAGAACTTTCCAAGACCTTGATGCCTTAAAACTGATCGAAGCATAGTCACAACAATATGGCTATTTCTAAAACAGAGGAAAATCGTATATATAATAGTGTGAATGAACTAGAATTTAAAGAAAGTATTCAAATTTTTATACTATCAAAAACCAAATGCTACTGCAACAAGAGGTATGATCTTTTATATGTATATGTGTATTTATGTGTACACACACACACACACACACGCATAAAGCAAAGCCTGGAATTAGCATTTATGTATTACATGTAAGTACTGTTATGTCTCCTGCTAAGTAAAAATAAAGCATGTGTGCAATCTGTTTACTGGTTTGTAATACTAGAATTGAAAAAACTCATTCACCTAAATAACTGGTGAAGTTACAACAATAAGACATTTATTTTGCCCTTATCAAATATTAGTTTTGTACCTGCAAGCCTATGTCTCTTCTTTTAACAATGAAAATGGAATTTAAAATCACATTAAGTAAAGAGACACCGAAGTCCAATTTTATCTTTCCTTTTTTGGAAGCTGATCCAGAGAGTAGCTATAAAAAACACACGGAAGACACACGTGTGTGCGCGTGTGTGTAGAGGAACTACAGAAACAATGCAAAGAAAAAGTACCTAAGTTTCTTGGAGAAGGAAAGCACATATAATAGTTGCCTTTTTATTTTAGCAAAAATCATAAAGATAATGTAGGGTGCTGCCTTAGTAAACATAATCTTGTGCTATGACATAAATTAGTCTAAACTGCAACTTTTACTTTGCAAAATCAAATTTATTTATGTTTAGAATCAAGTCAACTAATCAGCTGGGAAACACATTAACCATCATATATTTTAGTTATCTACTAAAAGACCTCCAAACAGAACAACAGTTCTGGGGACGTGGGTGGCTCAGTGGGTTAGAGCCTCTGTCTTCCGCTCAGGTCATGATCCCAGGGTCCTGGGATGGAGCCCAGAATCATCATCGGGCTCTCTGCTCAGTAGGGAGCCTGCTCCCCCACGCGGCCACCTCTCTGCCTACATGTGATCTCTGTCAAATAAATAAGTAAAATCTTAAAAAAAAAAAGTTTAATTTATGCTGGTATTAGAAACTAGTTATATCATTTAAACTCTGATTTCATCATTTCCAGCAAAGCCTTACTACCTTACAAAATATGTTTTCATATTTGTTTCATATTTGTGAGGCATATGGTACAATACAGTATAGTGGTTATGAGTATGAATTCTACAACCAGATTGTTTAGGTCTAAATCTTGACTTTACACACTGTGTAACAGCTATGTCTATGGTTACCCTGACCACTTGTTGGACCTCTCCAGGTCTCTACTCATTATCTGAAATATAGAGATAACAGCATTCATCTCATTGGGTTTTTGTTAGGAATAAATGAGTAAAAAATGTGAAATGCAAAGAACGGTGCTCGCTGCATGTTAAGCACTTAATAAACATCTGATTATAAGAATTTAGTCAAATAACTGCCTAAACCTACTACCCAGAGCCACATATTTTGAGTTGACAATAGTAGGCAATGTACTGATTGTTGCATCATTATATTGTACACCTAAAACTAATGTAACACTGCATAATAACTATGAATATTATGAACTGCATAATAATAATGAATTTTTTTAAAAAAGTAAATATCCAGTGCAGAATGCAGAAAACAGGAACCCAACAGTTTTCCTGAGCTGAAGAGATAAAGCCAGGAGTTGAAGGAGGCCATGTGGCAAAGTACAGGGGGAAGAAAGAGCACAGAGAGAGCGAGCTCCAGAGATCTGTAGAGGCAACTTTTTTTTTTTTTTTTTAAGATTTATTATTTGTCAGAGAGAGAGAGATAGAGCATGCAGAAGCAGTGGGAGCAGCAGGCAGAGGGAGAAGCAGGCTCACCACTGAGCAAGGAATCTGATCTGGGACTTGATCCCAGGACCCTGGGAACATGACCTGAGCTGAAGGTGGATGCTTAACTGACTAAGCCACCCAGGCGTCCCTGTGGAGGCATTTCTTGAGTACTGAACAGCACATGGACATAAGGAAACTATCCAAAACTGGTGAGAGAACCACTCGAAAGGAGCAAGGTCAACAATTTCTGCAGCTCACATAGAACGAGAAAAAGTCCATGGTCTTACTGACGGGAGTGAAGAAACCTTGTAATTCATGGAGTATTAAGTAGTGAGGCAAAATCAACCCTAAAAAAAAAGCTGCTCTGATTCCAACTGATGAAGCTTAAGAGCAAGACTCACTCACAGTAATCAAATGGCTCCCAAGTAACTTTACTGAAACCCAGAAATAAACTCAAGAATGTTTGCAGGACTCCACATGTTAAAATTCACAATATCTGGAGCCAATAAAAAAATACCAGGCACGAAAAAGAACAGGAGAATATGACCCATAATAAGGAGATTCAGCAATGATACGAATATAGTTAGACTAAGACAAAAATCAATTATAATTAAAGCCTATGTGTTCAATAAAGTTTGAGCACATAGAGATAGGAAAGATACATTGTTAAAAGACCAAAATGAACCTCTAGAGATGAACACTCCAACATGTGAAATTTTGAAAACACACTGCACAGAAGGAACAGCAGATTAGATGTTGCAGGAAAAAGATTAATGAGCCTCAAGACATAGCAATAGAAATTTAAAAAAATTATACCTATGACAAAGGTATAAAATTTTAAAAAATTATAAAATCAAATTTCCCTGCAATAATCATTAAACAACATTCCCAGCATAAACTTATATATATACATGGATATGCTAGACAAAATACTTCCATAAAAATAGTAGGTATTAAAATACTATTAATATTTGAAAAATTAACATTTTACTTTATAAAACAAAATGAAGTAAAATTGAAAGAACTGTTGAACTGATCAATGATTCTTTACTTTGAAACATATTATTTCCTGACACATTCTCTTCTAAAAATAGAAATGTGATTATGAAGCACATTATGGTCCTTTTTATGAGTTTCAGTTTTTGATGAAATCAGTTTCTCTTTCCTTCTCTCCTATAAAAAATGAGGAAATTAGCATGTAGCGCTTCTTCCCAGGCCCAAGTTTAGTTTTTTCTTCCGATGAGAGAGCAGCAGGCAGAGGCAGAAGCAGGTATACTGCTGAGCAAGGAGGCCAACGTGGGACCCGATCCCAGGACCTTGGGATCATAACCCGAGCTGAAGGCAGATGCTTAACCTACTGAGCCACCCAGGTGTCCCCTCACTTACTCTTTTAATTTCATTTCTCTAACTGCACTGTGACTATTGCAAACCTGTTTAATATTGAGTAATATTATTTAAATCAATTCATATTTTTTTTAAAGATTTTATTTATTTATTTGAGAGAGAGACAGTGAGAGAGAGCATGAGCGAGGAGAAGGTCAGAGAGAGAAGCAGAATCCCCGCGGAGCTGGGAGCCCGATGCGGGACTCAATCCCGAGACTCCAGGATCATGACCTGAGCCGAAGGCAGTCGTCCAACCAACTGAGCCACCCAGGCATCCCTCAATTCATATTTTTAATTCTGCAATTATACTTTTATCTACTCATGCTTTTCTTAAATTTCATTTTAATGATATTTTATTGAATTCCTTTTTTTTTTTTCTGTTTAGAACTCATGTTCTTATCTCTTCTATAAATCTTTTATGAAGAAATTTCTGTTCTTGGGTTATGTTTTCTTCCAGACTGAGTTTTTCCCTCTAGCTAAAGTTTGAGAGCTGAGTATTTTGCTATTCACCTATTTGTCTGTACCTTCTTGTTAGAAGAGTTTAGGCAAAATTAAATGCTATCTTCATTAGAAGACCTGGACTTTTATTTTCTTAGGAGATTTCATAAAATGCCGACTATTTGTGTTCACATTAGTTGGTTCAGTGAGTATTTTGTTCTCATTTAGGGAATGATACACTACTAGGTTGTAGATTATATACCCAATTCAGTGTTGCTGAACATTTGCTTTAGTTTGAGACCATCAGCCCTAATTATCTTTTTAAGATTACAATAATTCTTTGGTTTCTGGGTGTGAGGATGAAGAATGTTGAATGGTGACTTTTATTTGGACACAGCCTTTATAATTTATGGCATCGGGCTGGACTCTGACTCTTGTTCTATTCAGTAAAACTGAATTTTTGGAATATTTGAAATTACTTTTTGTTTGGTAATGTATGACAGTCTATGATACAAATTTAGTACCCCCAAGCCCCAATATTCAGTAATTCTTAAGTAATCTTAAGGAAATTTTCAAAAAGAAATAGAGTGGGGAAATATACACCCACAACCTTGCCATAAGAGAACTAATTGAAAATTCTATTTAGAACATTTCAAACATATAAAAACTGTCTTCATAATATATTGGTTGATGGGCATCATTTTACAACCAAATTAAATCTGTGCATTATAAATTATTTTAAAGTAAATTATTTTAAATGATTGGTTCTCAATTATTTTTCTGCCTTTACATATTTGCAAAAATGTAATTCCATATATATATATATATATATGCATTTATACATATTTATTTCATCAAAAAAACTATTTATTTATTTATTTATTTATTTATTTATTTATTTATTTATTTATTTTAGAGAGAGAATGCATGGGGGTTAGGGGTAGAGAGGGACACAGAGAGAGTATCCCAAGCAGACCCCGCACAGATCCTGAGTTGGGACTCAATCACAGAACCCTGAGATCACGACCTGAGCTGAAACCAAGAGTCAGACAGTTGACCAACTGTGCCAACCACACATCCCCCATCAATATTTCTTATTGTCTTGTGGGGCAAAGGATAAAATCTTTGTAATGTTAAAAAAAAAAAGTTTGAGGAGTCTGATGTTCTTAAGATTTTCTCCTGCTTCACAGCCTTATCCTCAGGATGAAGAACCACTAATTTTATTTCTGAAATGAAGAAATAAGTAAAAACT